CCCCAGGGACAGTTAGGGGATGGGAGTTCTTCCATTGTAATGCAGAAGATGCATTGAGAGTTAATCACAGACCATACATTACCTCCCCTCCTCTACCTTTTCATTAAACAGCTGCCTTCATCTTGTGCATTCTGCTGGTGGTTAGGATAAGGATGAATAATTCCCTTAACTCTCTTCCTCCCCGGATTAAATAATTTACAAGTTTGAAAAAGAGCCTCCAGTTTGCTGTGTATTCCTCAACAGATAGGACAAGAATTCTTTCAATAATCCTTAAAGAAAACTGGCATTATCCATTCAAGCAGTGGAAGGAGTTCATTGAGCACTCCGTGCCCCGAGACAGCACTGCAGGAAATTGCTCCTTTCCTATGCTCCCCTGATCACCTGGCTGTCACTGGCATGTATATGCCCCAAATTTAGATTAACCATTGCTGTTCACCTACACAGGAGCAATAAATGGTCATCTATTGCTGGAAACAGAAACTTGTAAAACCAGCAGCTGCTGTAACAAAGACTTAAACTGTTTGCAGGGTTCAGCTACAATATAAAACATGATGACAATTATTTGCTGTCTGGATAACAGCATAATCTGGGCTTCTTCCACCACAGCCAGAGAAACGGGCTATTCAAATAAATCTTATCAAAGGAACAGTTTAATAGACCAATGAACACTACCATGAAACAACCCTCGGTACCCTAGTCTATCTTCCAGATTTTCAGCCCTCTTCAGAACAGACAGGCTGCCTTGACACGAAATACAAATCAGAAAATTAACAGCAAGGAAACATGAACTTACAAACTGGAAGCAGCTTCTGACGCTCGGCTCGATATTGCTGCCCCCGAAGGAGGCCACTTCCCCCAGCTGCCGAGGGATCTGGATGGAGTCGTGCAGCAGGAGCCCCAGGCGCCGCTGGTCACAGAAGCCCGTGGAGCTTGCCACTTGCTTGAACAGGTCTGGAGGAAGGAAAAGGACACCAGAGCTGAAGCATTGCTACTGGGATATAGCAAATAGCATGGAAGTCTGCATCATGTCAAAGGCTTGCAAGTGTGGTCAACAGCCTTGGTGGACATAAACACAAACATAGCTTCAGTTTGGCTGCTTCTCTTTCCATAAACACTGCTTTTTTCTGTTAAATATGCAGTCTAGTGATAACTTTTAATAGTAATATTGGCTTGTATCTGGGAAGAAAGGCCATTCTAACACAGCACCTGTAGCACTACTGATAAAAGCAGTCGTGATTCTCAAACACAGCTAAGTAAACAGCAGGATCTTTGAGCCATGACAACATAAATGTTTTTAAAATATTGTTTAACCATCAAACAATCTCATAAAACAGACAGCACGTTTTCAAGTCTTAGCAATCAACATACAACTCAGAGAATCCATTTCTCTTTCAGATGAATTGAACTGAAAACCAAGAACTCCCTAATATCGATATATTGTGATCTTTTAATCCAACAGTATTTCTAAAATGAAAGAAAAGCATTACAGTATGACGGAACATACCATCCACTGAGAATGTTAATATCATATTAAGTTTTCACTTCCAAAGTGAAATGTCACTTGAAGCTATGTTCTGTTATTGCATCATTCTAAAAAAGAATCCTTACAGGACAGAATTATTATCCCTTTGTAAGCTCAATTTAATTTGGTGGGAATTAGTTATACTACATATACATTGAGGAGGTTTTAGAGTTCATAACAAGAAGAAAAATCAGGTTTGCATTAACTGAAATATTTATTTGGTAATATCCCTGTTGACAATATATGACCTGAATAAATTCTCCTTACTTTTTAGAGCTGCCTTAATATTTCACCTGACACCAGGGATACAATTACAAAGGTGCTTCATCACTACTCGAGATAACTTTCCTAGTGCTGCTTTGACACCTGTTCTCTTCTGAAGGAATAAAGGAATGGATAGAGAAAGGATTATTTTTTGATTACATGAATTTCACTCTTGATTAGTCTGGTTTTATAATAAATAATTTGGGGATAAACCTTTCCATCACCTCTGCAAGCCTGAAGACTTCTGCTATAGCACAACCAACTCTGCTCAGCTGCACAAATGAGAAGAAAAACTTTAAAAGGTGCAACTCATCACATACTTGCAGCAATACTAATAGCAACTGCACTATGACTTCAACATGGATGGTGCAGCCAGATCACAGCCTGGCAGAGCCAGTTTCTTCCTCTCCCACAAACTATTCAAGCTTGCAATTTCCCCATCATTAAAACATTTCCACAACCTTAAAAAGAAGGGTTATGGATTACCGTGCACGCACACTGCAGGACACTATAAAATACGATTAAATGTATTCCCTTACAATTTCTGATAATCCTCAATGAAATATTCTGAAAAATATATACTAATTTTCTTAAAAGATTTTCTGAATACTTTTCACAACACACACATGAACTCTAGACATCTAAACTGTGACATTTATAGTGATTGACCCAAAATCTGATCCAATTACACAGTCATGCACAGATGCCGTTGTTGGAACTGCCTGTTTTCTCTTTAGCAGTCTTCAACTTCCAATAGTAGAAGAACAGAATAATAACAACTGATGAAGAATTCCTGTGGTATTGGGTCAAATCCTAAAGGTTGCTTTTTTAAAATGCATGAATAAGTGATACCAGTTAATGTAACCAGAAAGTTACTCTTGAGAACTACTCTTACCCTGGATCCTAGCCTCAATAATTAACCGATTCATTAGTCAGATAAAACTGAGACTTCAAGTGGAATTTTTTCAAGTATTTCACGATTTGGCTTATTAAAATATGCAAAACTTGCATACCTTTAATATATATTTAAAGGTAGCAACTATATTTAAACACAATGTACATCATAAGACCCTGACCATATTGCAGAAAACATTTTTTAAAGATCATATATTTTAAAATGGAATAATGCAAGATGTCCTGCAGACATGCATTTTTGTGTATGAAGGTGTGCTGAATTAGTATCTCCAAAGAGAAGTTTTCATACCCCACAAAGTGTACAACACAGTCCATACATTAGGGTGCAGTGAGAAAATATTTTTGTACTGTAAATAAACTAAATTTAAAAATAATGCTTATTTCATCTTTATCACATCCTTTTTTAATTTCCTTTTTTGTATGTTTTATAATGTATCTAATATATTAGTACAGTGTGGTACATGCATGTAATTCATAAATAAATATACATCTATTAGGGGTGCATGCTCAGAAAGTTTTTACTGGTAGGGATATGATCAAAAATGTCTGGGGTCTGCTGTGCTAAACTACCTAAAACCATACCTGAATCAGTAACTGGAAAGTACAAAATGGAGCAAATTAACATCTGTATGCTACTTAAATGTTTATGCAATAAATAGGAGGAATAAAACCAGAATATAAACATAAAATAAACCCAAAAGAATTATGTTGACTTACATCTATATTTATCTTCCAGGTGTGCTTTGCAAAGGGATACAACACCGGTTTTGAAAGATAAGACACGGATTCTTCCTGTTCGGCCCCTAATGAAAAAGAAACATTGACTGATAATGATCCATTCATGTCATAATTTGTTTACTATAACAAAGTTCACTGCAGTACCACAGGCATCATAAACAAAGTCCCCCACAGAACCATGCTGCACAGCACACACTGGCTGGTTATTAGGGAAATCAGAAACAAAATATAACACAGGGTTGTGGCTTCACAGTTATAGCTGAATTTGATTGTGCTGTTGTATCAATTCAACCAGAAACAGTCTGGTTCAGAAATAATTACCTCTTTTTTTTTTTTTTTTTTACGACAAAGTAAGAGTAGAGTCTTTACTCTACACTTACTTGAACAGGCTTCTCTATAAACCACTGATGAGCTATTCTCGGAAACGATAAGGTTCCTGTCAGAACAGCAAATCATCCCTTTTGCCAAAGACAATACAGCTCCACTTTCATTTGACATGAGATGTAGCAGTCACTTTTAGAAAGTCTTTGCTTACTGTCTGTCAGCTCTGCCTTGCCTTGTTTGAGAAGGCAACAGGGAGCTAAGCATGAAAAAACAGTGTCTGCCAGCAATGTGCAGCAACAGAGGCATTCGTAAGATGTTCAGGTGAATGAGGAAGACTGCCTAGAAATCACAAGAAGGCAGGTGGGCCATGCAGCTTTGCCATTAACAATACAGCATGGTTTCTGAGCTCCTCCTCGCAGCACTGAGACCTGTCTTATGCAGCGTCAACGGGCTGCTATGCTCCACATCAGTTCCTGTGCTGCCTCTGGTCAGCCTTCCCTCATTCCCGCCTTGTAACGTGCCTGTGCTATTACTTCTGCTTTTCAACGTGACTGCAAGAAAAGCATCCTCCTCTGCGCTGCACACGGTGGAGACGACAAACCTTCACATACCCTCCCAGTCATCTGGTTTACCTCCAGATGGTGGCTTCCCCCAAAACTTTAATTTCTGATAGCATTTCAAACAGTTAACACCTATTGCAAACGAAGACATGCACGACAATATATACAACAGAGGAAGCTAATGCCTAAACCTGACATTTTTGAAGCAGAGCCTTACCAAGAGTTTTGAAATGTCACCAGTAAGAACACCACTGGGAATAAAATAAATCATGTACAGGCATGCCACAGTCATGCATCAGGCTGTACTGTTCAGCAAAGATGCATGTGGTCTTTTTAGAAGCCAACGGTGCTCATTTACCCACACATCTCCCCTGCAAACCGTATGAAAAGTGTAGACAGAAACCGGTGGACAAAGATGAACTTAGAATTTGCAGCCTTTTACTTAAGAATCTTGGATTTCTCATCAGGAATAAGCATTTGTTGTTTACCTATGCTTTTCACACTCCACTCCTCTTACTCCTCTCCCTCAAATCTTTTCCAAATTAATTATCATCTGTGCCCTGAGAAACTCCTCCTGATGAATACCAGGCTCATGCAAATTATACAAGAGAAGAATGTAGAATGATGATTTCTCTGCAAGGCGTATTAAATTGAAACCTGCACGAATCACGAGTTGTTCAGTTCACTCTCCTCTCCTCCCAAGTCAAACCAATAATTTAACATGCTACTGCAAATAAACATGAGTGACTGATCAATTAAAACAAATCTGAAACACGCACGATTCACAGAGCTGTGTCCATAATTAGATCAGTCATTGACTGTGAATTTGATTAATATCTTTACAAATGACAGTTTTCAATTATAAGTAAAGACCCAGTATATTTAATTAAACATCTCCAGTACTGCTATGCACTTCGGTTGATCTCTGCCTATTAAGCTTACAATGAAAATGAAACACATGTAACCCCAAGGTCACCTCTCTCCTCAGTGTAATTCAAACCTGAATTTTGGCAAAATAGCTACAAGCTTCCTCACACATAAAACACCTCTCTGTAAACCTGTCTGTTTCATTGCGTCCTGCAATATGCAGTTCCTGAGCATACCTAGGGAGCTGCCTTGAGGCAGTCAATTATAAATTCTAATGTGGTACCTCCAGCACAGTGCAAGATGAAGAAAACTAGACTGGACATGGCAAATCTAAACCAGACAGTCCAGCTTTGGAGCAGCCTGTGGAACAACCTTTAGCTCCCTCTTCGCTTCTAATGTGGCTGATCTGGATTAACATCCCTAGCACACCTTTTTTGGTTTTTGCAAACTGAGTGTCTTTGTTTATATGTTGTTTAGATTGTTGATAATTCAGAAGTGGATCAGAGCTCTGGGAAAGCCAAAGCAGATAAAAGAAGTAAAACTTAACTCTTAGATGGATATAGCTACATCCCTTACTACCAGTACACTACACAAAAATATAATGTAATATAGGTAATCCCATACAGGATACTGCAGCTGCTGCAGAGGATGTTACAAGCAACTGACTTATCAGAGGTGATCCTGCAGGAAGAGACTGTACAAATCTGTACTTTCTGCAGGTGATCATCGAAGCTTCAGTGCTCTGATAAAGGGTGGATGGAAGAACAATGTTATGGCACTTCAATATGGTTCAAAATGCCAATGCAAATACAGTGATTGTCCCATGTCCTTCCATTTCTATATGGAATATTTATTCTGCCACAGTAATGAGCATGTCTGGCTCCAGATGGCAAATAAGAACCTTAAAAACTTCCACTGAATTCCACCCCCCACCCCCCCAAATTCACCAAATACAAAAATAACGGCTTAACCTAAAATTAGCTTACAAATCTGTGTTGGAATTTGTCTAGGTGTTATAACCAACATCATTAACCCACTGAATCGGAATACCTGTAAATTTTCTTAGGGTAAATTTACTCTCATGCATTTACATTTATAGGTACACTTTTTAAAATTAATTTGACATGAAATTCTTCTCAAATCTCCTGACTGTTAATGGGTGTAAGCACATTAGATTAGCGATGAGCCTCTCCCATCTTTTAATAAGAATTACAGATTGAAAGCTATAGAAAACATTCAGCTCTGAAAATGTTTAACATCCAGAAGTACAGACACATGCAAGACTCTGTATGATGGTGTTTCTCTTCAATTTCTTTAATTCTCTTTAATTTACCTAAGTAAATTAAAAAGCCATGCAAAGCTATGACATACTGAGGACATGAAGTCCCAGTATTGCTCTCAAAACAGAAATCTGCTTTAATTCTGGCTCTCTCATTCCTTATCTTAATAAATCTAGGATTATAAGCCTAACCAAGGACTACATTGATTCCGCTAAATGCAGCCATTAAAACATTAGGTTTATTAAACTTTCACTTCAACTACCTTTTTTTTCAGCCTCAAGCCATTCATGTTATAATGAGACAGACAGCTTGCTACCCTTTCCCCCTCCCCTTGTGCTACTGGGAAAGTTCCCGAGCACCCCATGTTCAGAGCACCCATACATACGTGTCGTAGACATTCAGCAGCCAGTTGAGGCACATGTCCACGCAGAGAGGAACGTTGACCAGGTTATTGTGCTCTTGTTCCAGTCGATCATAAATGGTGGTCAAGCAGTTAATGATCTGCAGAATATCCATCGGCTGGTCATTTTGTTTGAGATTGTGCTGGTCCAAGGCATCACATGCAGCAGAAAGACTCAGGAGATCCACTGTTAAAATAAATAAACAAACACTATAAAGATTGAAGAGAAACAGTGGCTGGATTACCCATACCTAAAAAGTAAACAGAACACTTTACTTGGCTTACAAGCCTGGCCAGAGGACATTTTATGTCCTCTCAAAGTCACGTGCAAGACTGGTTTCAATACCTGAATACAGATATGCTGTTTATTCAGCTATGCTCTTAGAAAGCAGTGTTTATAAAAGCGAAATCTGTTTCATCTTTAGCTGTAAAGTACCTACTATGCTATTGGAACCTACAGAAATACTACACATATATTACCATGTAAGTAAAAATTAAATGTTTCCTTTTTTATGTTGTTACAGATAATAGGCTACTGCGTTCACCAAATGTGCTCTCAAACCAGTACGTATCATCAGCTTTCCTGAGATGTGCTGTCCATTTTTTACAGAATTCAAGCAGTCTTAACCTAGCTCCACAAGGAATATGCAAAGAAATCACAACCGAACAGGGATCAACCTCTCTGTTACTTGTCTTCTGGTGAGAACAGGGAAAAGAAGGTTCCAGAAATATGAAGTGGCCTATTTCAATATTTATTAATGAAATATATCCATTTTTAATTCTGCAGAGCATTTACATTTATAAATACCTCAATGACTTTACAAAGTAAGACACATTTAAACTTACCAGTAAACATACTAGTTTTTTGTCACAGACATTTAAAAATTTGATTTTAGTTCCAATTTAAGTCAGTTGCATTTTCAAATTTGGATGTCCAAGGCAAAACAGAACCTTGCTTTCTCAGTTCAACCTCTGCGTACTAGTATCACCAGCAGCATCACACTTCGGGGGACATCACATCGGAGAGTTATGGGATATTGGTTTACAAAGTAAAACAGAAGTAAGAACAAGAGGAATCAGAAAAATGAGACTATTGATAATTTTCCCACTGTCATGTGAAAACCCTTTGCAACTCCTTGCAGTGGATTTCCAGGGTGTGAGCAATGAAGGATATTAAAGCCCAGATGCTATTAGTCCAGGAGCAGTCACAAAGTGCAGCACAATTCAACATGAATTGAGGGAGCAGCATCTGGCCCAAAATGATCTGCCCAAAATCATCCACAAAATTCTTCACAAAACTGTGAAATGAACCAACCCAACTGCAAGACCAGTTTTTCTTTCATTGGATTAAAAATGTGCTTTACTGAGTCTTGGTAAGCAACACCTCCTGGTAACATTAAAAAACTAAACAATGAACAGAGGTTAAATGCAGAACCCAATACAGGTTTTTTTCTAGAACTTGATACAGCTTACAGGCACATTTGCCAAATTTATACTAGGGTATCTGATTCTACCAAGGATGAAACTGACCTTTGGTGTCCTAGCGGAGATGAAAAGTATTTTAGCTGCACACAGGGCTGTTTGGTGATGATGCATGGACAGTGTGCTGGGATTTCATAATTGCCAAAAGAATTTCAGGAGTGTAAATTTCACTGGAAATCAAGAGGGGCTCCTGCTACTAAATCCCTTAAGCACTTCTGAAAATTTCATCCCGTGGGCCTGACATACTCAGTGCTAGAGCGAATAAGGAAAGCTTAGAATGCTATCCCTCTTACTATACCAGGAAACTTAACTTTGAGTCTGAGGTTTTGTGCAGGTTTTTATTGGAGTTTTTCTCTTTTTCATATTAGCATATAGATATTTATTAAAAGAAAATCTTTTGGAATGCAATGTTTAACCTCCTAGAATATAAAATACATCTATTCTAAGGTCAGTGTTACATCCCACCAAAGCCTATTTATCAGACCCATTCCTAAGATTCTCAAAAAGACTCTTTTCTTCTAATAATTTATTAGTCAAATTGGAAATAGAGCACTGCCTTCATAACACCTTTAACTCCGAGCTTTAGGCTGAACTCTCAGTTCCTTTGAGACAATGAATCAACCGTAATTAAATGAACCCCTCAGGCATCTGAGTGGCGGCTTAATTATATGTGCAGCTACTGCTAAACACGGGTCATTCCACTCTGTGAAAGCTTTTCCCACTAATAAACAGCAACTTCTGAAAAGCTTTTCAGCCTGCTCTTTATCAACCTCCTGTCCCATCTTGAGGTTAATAACACACGTTCATCTTACAACACAAAAAAAATGGTTGCCACCACACTCTGTGTTGGGGAATTGCTTATGGGAAGAAGAGTGGCTCTGGCCTCCACCACATTACGCCTTCCCGCATCTTTCCCACCAAGATTAAAGAAATGTGTGTGGGGATCCTTTCCCAAAACCTGGGATTGCATCTTTCTTTCCTGAAAGCACATATGGAGGTTCCATGAATGATAGACTTTAAGAACACAACTGCCCCACGTCAGATATGTATTGAAGAGTTGTATATTCATCGCCACTTGGTGATTTGCAAAGTTTTAACTGAAATAAACCATACCACTTCATGCTTTGTATTTTTTGTGGGTTTTCAGCCAGTCTTTTGTTCTTCTCTATTTAAAACTCCAAAACTGACCCCAAAATTTGTCTGAGCAGTAGCTTCTAGCTTATACTGAAATCTAAGTCATCTATATGATTCTATATATTTTTGTTTATATCTATATAAATATTTATTTGGTCCTAAGGCAAAAAAAACCCAACAAAACCCTTTAGGATCTTTGTAACTAGGCACCAAGCTGTGGCCACTTTGCAGGAAAAATATAGAAACCGACTTGGCATAACTAACCAACTGAAGGACAGAAGTGACAATTAACAGGCAAGAAGAAAGTATGCTCTGGAGGTCACATACTGAACTTAGGAAAAACTCAACATATGGCTGGTGATAAAAAGTATTAACAGTGTTCCCAGAATACAAGATCGTCTCCTCTACAACCTGCTGCTGTTGGCTGATACATTAAAAAAATATATATTTAATCCATCCTGCATAAAATTAAAGGAAAAAAGCACCCTAACGGAAGTTCTTTAACATTTTCTTTTGCTGCATCTCCAAGGAAAGTCTGCAAATATATCTCATTTTATTGACATTGCAACATTCAGATGTGGTTTGCACTTGAAGATGAGATCTTTTAAAGTAGCAAAACAAGAAAGTCAGCATGCTTTGATGTGAATATCAAAAGGAAACCATACATTCAAAAAAAAACAACAAACCCAATGTGCAATAGTTACAGCTGGCATGTCCACAATAATTTAGAAGCCTGGGATGATAGAGCCAGATACTAGATTCTTCTAAGGTAACACAATACACAACCATATTTGTTAAGGATTGCCATTTTCCATATTCTTCTTTAGGGTTAATATCCTAGTGTCTTAATGTACACTGGGCTGATTTACAAACAGAAAAGATCTAAAGTCTAAGTATAGTTCATTTTAGAAAGCGTTTCTATTCTTGCCACTGAGAAACAGGTTGTACCTTCGCTTTTGCAAGCCTTCTATTGTGCACACATCTTATAGTGCTCCTCACTAGACAAAACTGCTCTGCTTTTTATGAAGCTAGCAAAAAAAAAACCCCAAAAAAACACATGTATATATATTTAAACATCCGCAATCTAAAAACTGAAATAAAAAGTAAGAGCTGAAAGCAGCACCTACTGCAAGTGGAACTGAGGGAGTTTCGGCTGTGTGTAGGAGCCCTGAAACCCAGCAATGTGCTCTGTGCCAAACTGCAGAAAAAGGAATTTTTTAATGAAGTCTTTGGGGGGAAAAAAAAAAATCTAATTAAACTGAGTTCACAAGCGACACCAAAATCACAGGATACACAAACACACTGATGGTGTCTCCAAGCAAAAATATTTGTAAGAACAAAGACTACTAATCTAATTCCTTAAATACTTCTCCTTAGATACAAGCATGAAGAATGTGCTAAAGTAATCAGAGTAAGAGCCACTGAACATCTCCAAAAACATCCATTCTCAGGAAATTTACCGAAGTGTAACATTGAGAGAGGAACTGACTCCAGTGTGTAATTACAATTCCACACGGTAAAGCTATGGTGGGTTGACTCTGGCTGGACACCAGGTGCCCACCAAAGCCACCCTATCACACCCCTCCTCATATGGACAGGGGAGAAAAATACAATGCAAGGCTCATGGGTCGAGATAAGGACAAGGACTCACCAATCACTACCACCAGCAAAACAGGCTCTACTTCGGTAAATTAGCTTAATCAGATCAGAGCAGGATAATGAGAAATAAAACCAAATCTTAAAACAGCTTCTCCCTATCCCTCCCCTCCTTCCTGGGCTTAACTTTCCTCCTGAATTCTCTGCCTCCTCCCCCCACAACAGCACAGGGGGATGGGGAATGGCAGCTGTGGTCAGTTCATCACACATTGTTTCTGTTCCTCCTTCCTCCTCAGGGGAGGGCTCCTCACACTCTTCCCTGCCCCAGCATGGGGTCCCTCCCATGGGACAGTCCTCCACAAACTTCACCAACCTGAGTCTTTCCCACTGGCTGCAGCTCTCCATGAACTGCTCCAGTGTGGGTCCCCTGTGGGGCCACAAGTCCTGCCACCAAACATGCTCCAGTGCAGGCTTCCCACAGGGTCATGGCCTCCTTTAAGCATCTCCCTGCTCCAGCATGGGGTCCTCCATGGGGTGCAGGTGTATATCTGCCCCACCATGGACCTCCATGGGCTGCAGGGGGACAGCCTGCCTTACCACAGGCTGCAGGGGAATCTCTGCTGCGGTGCCTGGAGCACCTCTTTGCCCTCTCCCTGCTGACTGCAGAATTGTTACTCTCACATATGCTCAATTCCCTCTTGAGCTATTGCTCTTCTTTTTCCCCTTAAATACGCTACTAACGCCACTGATGGGCTCAGCCTTGGCCAGCAGTGGATCACTTTTGGAGCCGGCTGGCACCGACTCAATTGGACGTGGGAAGCTTCCAGCAGCTTTTCACAGAAGCCATCCCTGTGGCTCCCCACTACCAAAACCTTGCCATGCAAACCCAATGCAGAAATCCAAAATGAGTCTAGAATTATTCAGTGGTAAGGTGTCATGGCAATACAGATAAAACAGGATGTGAAATTTTGCACTTTCAGCCCTAAGAACTGTTACAAGTTACACTTGTGCACTGCCAGCTGAAGAAACCTGTAATTGCAAAAATTTTAGTTCCTTACTTCAATGCTGCACTGGTGTGTCATGGAGAGATGTTTGTGTTTATGATTATCATAATTCACTGTCACTGCATTCATGTCGAGATCTTTCATTATGTTACAAGACTTGTCACTTAGTGGTTTGGTTTGGGGTTTTTTGTTCCTTTTTTCTTTTCTGGTTTGTTTTTTTTAGACATTCAGAAATTAAGTCTGTTCATTAGTGGAATTCACCTATGCTTGTAAGCCTGAAAGTAAACATGCTCAAAAATACCGAGGTTTGACACAGCTCCAGAAAGCATGTGAACACAAATCCAAACTTGAGATAAATCAACAGTTGAGACATTTGCAACTGTGTCATAAATTTAGCACTGTAATTAAATGCCAAATATTTCAGTGACTTTCCAAATTATACCACCTCATAAACTGATTGCTTTGGCAACTGATCGGCCTACCAAGAAAACTGTGAGCAAATTGTTTAGCTATCAGGTTACAATAAGTGACTGGTAGAATACCAGACACCAGTTGAGAGAATTAAAACGTTGGAACATGCACATCACTAATATATGGCTGACGAGAGAATTCTGAACATAACCAAAAGCTAGGGAAAAGTAAAGTTAAATGTTTAGGGTGATGATCTTTTCTAAAGGCAACAATCCCCTGAAGGATTGTTCAAGATTCAACTTAACAAACCATCAGCAACTTCAGCTCTGGAGTGATTATTTCACAGGAACACTCACTGTTGCCAGCACACTATGATCCTGTTTCTTTAGGTTTGAATAATACAGCTGTGGCTGACACAGGACGTAACTCCAGTAATGACTACAGTGACAAAAAAAAAAGAGTATAAAGATAAGGAACACGTAGGGCATGTTAGCTTTGTTACTGATCCACTGCTCTATCTTACAGGGCACAGATCTGAAGACCACCCAGCACTTTGATTTTGTAAGGAACATGCAAACTGGTGGCAGCAGAACAGCCTTCAGGTAAGAGGTTTCCGTGCACCCAGCAGAGCTGGGGGTACCTGTGGGGGTGTTTTTCTGCTTCTGAAGGTTACAAATAAGCTTGTGTGTCGGTCTTAAAGCCTTCCCACCAGCGGGTGAGGCATGGGCACATACTTACAGCAGAGAGCTTTCTGCAGCCGGCGGAGTTTCATGGCAGTCCTGTACGCCGAGAATCTGACGTTGTTCAGGTCAGCTGTAGGGTAAAATATTAAAATAAAAGATCAGCTTTACACCTTAGAAATGCGCAGACTCACAAAGACGCTGCTAAGCTGAACTAGTTTATACTAATTGGTTAAAAGAACAGAGGGGGAAAAATAGTACGTTAGAAACTCTACTTCACTGAGCAAAAGCCCTCAAACCTTGACAATCGTTCAAAGAAAACCAGTAAGTCCTAAAGTGTTACTTCCGTTTGTTCAAAGGCACTGAACTTAAGAGCACTTGAAAGGACATCGGTGACTGCAGCAGGTCGTCAGAAAATACCGCAGCCTTTCACACCGCAGGCACTGCAAGAGAGATAAGAACCTGAAACTCCTCCTTGTCTGGCTGGTGCACCAGCCAGGCTGCATGCAGGCAGCCCCAAGAACTCTGCCCAGGAAAACAGAGGTGACTTTCAGCTGCTGCTAACAACAAACTGTAAAAAACCCCAACAATGGAACTTTTGTGCTTTCCACCTAAGCAGATGACAGCCATGTCCCGAGACGTAGAACCTTCCCAGCAAGAAGCCAGCTCACCCAGCCAGGTGAGTTTCCAGGTTCCCACCTCCAAAATGGTGGGAAGCCAGGGGGCTGTGGCTGCACCATGGGAACACATAAAGTGGTGTGACTTTTGCTAGAACCTTCCTCACACACCGTTAACAAAAGAAGGACATCAGCACAACTCCTCAATAGTTTAACTATGGCCTGCAAAACCTCCCAGGACACTGCAAGGACAAGGCAAGTCCCACACCAAACTAGCCACACCACACCAGGACAGAAAAGCTTCTCAGCATGCAGGAGGCTCAGTACTGGATACTTGAACATTATCCACCACCAAATAGTGGTGTTCCCCCCAGCAATTGGCCTGTAGCCTAAGAAGCAAAGATTAGTCAAAACTGAAAAGAAAGCAGCAGTTGTCTTGGACCAAATGTGGCCAAGAAACTGCATTTGCATCTTTCTCTTCTGTGAAACCAGAGTAAGGAAGATGTGCTTACCCCAATCTTGTTGCTGGCTTTGCTGAGGGTGGCCTTGGGCAAACCCCATTTACAACAAGAATGAAGACAAAACACACTGAAAGTGAGGTTGAAACTACTGTGGTTGAAATCCTGCCAGCAGTACCACTACATCATCTAACTTGTAATTTACAACTAGATTTGGCATATAAAGACAACCGTGCAGACACAATACTGCTTGCACTACTCATAATCAAACTCACGATGCAGAAGTGAGTGCACATATCTGGCAAAGGGTTTTTGTTTATGCCAGGAGATCCACCTAAGCTACCCATGTACATACAGCTTTGACCTTCATCCAAGAGAACTTGGGTAACCCATCACAGTTGCTGGTTTGGGGGCAAGTCTATGGCCTTATGCTGTTTCCCAAAGGGGTATTACTGGTAGCTGCACTGGGAACTGAGGAGTCGCAGGACACACTCTTGGGTGCTACGGCATGGTCACCCCCACTGCTGCAGACATGCCTTTGGCCTGTCATTTACCCAACTAATTCCTCAGCACAGATGCTCCTGGGCATTTCAGTGGTCTAGGGACTGTTCCAAACAGACCGGTTGGCATTTGTAATTTAAGGGTTTTCTAGCACAGAAATGGACTGTTTGTGCCAGCCAGTTTCAGCACCCAGCAGCACTGCTGAATATATTTAATTTACTGATGAAACCCATGGGGCCTAAGGAGTTACTGATGGGAGAGCATTTGGAAAATGTAAACTATTACGTAAATACAAGAAGAACATTAAAAAAAATACTGGCTCAGAGTAAAGGTCCATTTAGCCCAATAAGCTGTCTCTAAGCCTGGCAAACTCATAGAGAAAGAATATGATGAAAAACAGGGCAAGTACAAAACAGCTCCTTGCTGGCATATGCACTGAGGTGCTATAAAGCTGTTTGCAATGTGGTAGCTTGGGTATAACTATCCCAACATCATTTACAATGCTGTACGGTTTATAGACAGCAGAGGGAATATAGTCTCAATTACATTAATTTTAATTAAGCTGTTCTGAATGAATAATTTGAGGTTTGATAATTCAGTAGTTTTGTATCCCGTACTAAAAGTTATTGAATGTTTCTAAAACATGTCTTACAGCAGAAGGGAATGTTTCAGCTTTGGATAGGATTTCTTTTCTTTTGCTCAGTTTCACACACCTTTTTAATGGGCGGTTCTCCTGTGTATTTCTCCTGCCAGCTCCCTCTTTCACAATCAGCCTGACAGGTCGAGAAGCCTTAATGTGGTGTGGAATACAGTGAGCAATTTAAGTAAAGTGATTTAATTTGTCTTGAAGGGAAATTAATAAAGCAGTCTCTTGCAAACACATTGTGACTTCAGTTACATTTTATACCCTTGTGGTAAATCTGCACATGTATTCTGGAAAAGAATATATACCAGATTATTGCTAGCACTTGATAAAATGGAGAAGCCTTCCCTAAATTTTCCCCGAGTATTCTGAGGGGAAAAAAAAAAAAAAAAACCAAACAACCAAAAACCCCGACCAAAAAACCCACCTTCTCTACTTATTATTTACATCTTAAGAAATATTAGTGCGTATATATATATATATGCATATTTTATGCATTCATGAGGGCAGAAAGTACAATCCATGAAACTACTTAATCCTGAAAGTGCTATAGTTTACATCTATTTTCCTGTATATTTTATACACACTGAATTTATTATCAGCCTTAATGACATTGCTGCCAAGAAGCATCGGCTGTAAATGATCACAAGGAATGTCAGGAGCTACCTTCAGAGCCCTCATCTCAGATTTTGGGGAAATAGCAGCGATGACATCTTTTGGCTCTACATCCTGAGGCCACACATAGCCATTGTGCGCCTCCACTCCCACTTATACTGCTGTTATCAGTATTAGCCCATGCCCAGTCACTGTCCCATGTGAACTGTTCACCTCCCATCTTCCTTATGCCACCACCTCCATGCTCCTGATGGACAGCTCTCTTACCAGGCGGTGACAGTCATTTAAGGTCACTGGATCCAGTGACTGAGCTTTTCCTCTCCCTGCTCCTATGAAACCATTGGCCATAACCTTCCTCCTCCCCCCGCCCCGAGCTACTGCTGGAACAAATGTCTTGCTCTGTGGAGCAATGAGAAGAGGCCAGGCTTCTCCAAATTGGGTTCAAAATATTTGCCTTGCTGGTATATGATCCCATTTAAATGAACCATAGAACATAAGCCTGTCAGGGAATAAGACTTGGTCACTGGGTTCGGGAGCGTTAGAGGTAACGTCACCACGAACAGCATGGGAGAAGAATCTGAGTGAGGCAGCATAAGGCGCTGCCTGGCCACAAGCCAGACACTACTGCTGGGAACGTGCGGAGGAGGGAGGAAGCTGCTCAAGCAGCAGTGACCTTCCAAGGGCCTATGGAAACACCAGAGTTCCTCCTTCCCTGTGGGTTGTTGTTTTTTTCTTTTCCTTCCTGGAAAGTCTGGTGATTCCTCCACTCCCAAACATCCCACTAATAGTCAAGACCCACTAACCCTTGACTCTAAGGCTTTTATCATCTCTGAGCAGGTCAGAAAGCTCTGCATACCATGCAAGCTTTCCTACAGCCATTTCCTCCCACTCGTAGGAGGTATTCACCAACTCATCATCCAAATCAGGTGGTCAGAGGGCTGAAAAGCCCTTGGAGTATGTGAAACTTTGCAGGTTCTTTCATGATACTCCCAGTCCTCGTTATTCAGAAGGTAACTTTCCAACTTTGAACAAAGAATGTAAATGCTCTGGAGCATAATCTGTTTGTGGCCTGAAACAACCATGAAGTGGAAGAGGTCACCTGGCCCCTGCAAAGGAACAGACTAAGGAAAGGATCATGAGAGTGTCTTCACTCACATATTTACATTCCTGAGCAAAAAGAAATCATGGTTCTCCTATCACTCAGTCATGAATGATCTCTCTGTTCCAGGGAATAAAAATTCTTTCTGGGGAAAAATATTTAAGACTGCATTACAGAAGACCTGTAAGATGGGGCAGGTGCTTACAGCTGATGCCTTTGCAGCAGTTCCCACCAACACGGCAGGAAGATCACTCCATAATCTTCCCAAAGTTTTGCCACAGCCCTCCCACTCTCATGGTGAAAGGCATTCGAAGTGCTACAGTGATAGGGACTCTCAGAAATTAGGAAGTCCCCTTTTGCTGCTTTCTTCTTTCTATTACAGACATGACAAGTACCTCCCTTTGCTTCATGGCAACTAATGCAGCAGGGAGAAGACTATCTAGAGAAGTGATTTCCTCCATGTCCATCATCTGCCTACAACATACAAGAATGTTCACATTCCTATGTTCATTCATATGAATGACATCGAACAAGAACTAGTGCTCTTATTACCCATGCAGCTTTAATGAAGAGGACTTCAGACTGCTGATAGGAATAACTCAAATCAGAAATATTATGGAAAGATGATCAGATAATTAAATCCTAACGTCTTCTGCATAATTCTGCATGTTGAGAGAATCTCAAAACGTAAAAGCTGTATTATTCCTCAAAAGAGCTAAGGCAGCCCTATCAACACATTTTTCAATGTTGCATTTCTACGGTATTGTAGAAACAGCTGTAATTACAGATAGCAGATCCTTTTGACAGTGGATAGGCAGGTTAAAAAAAAAAAACAACCACTCATTTTAGAAGTGGTCAGTGATTTGTACCAAAAATCTGAACCACCTGCTGGAATGCCCCCCTGAATACTGCCAGAATATCAACAAATAAGGTGTTGTAGATTATTGTTTTTTTAAATCCTCACATGCTATATTCCAGATTTTACATTGGGATATGAATATTAAGAGGAAAAACAGATGCTCATATTCTTGAGTCTTACTGTAGAAAATAAGTTGGTAAGCAACTAAAAGCAATAAAAAATTTAAAGAACAAGAAGCTTTTAAAATGAACATATTTAACAAGAGGTTCAGCATCAGCAAGGAGGGATATTTGGTTTTGTTCTTAAGTAGTTGCACCTGTAACCCAGACAACGGGTTTTAC